AAGATATCAAATGATAATTATCAATGATTAATTTTTACATCTTGAATTGAAAACGTTCTCATTCACTTCCCTTGTGTAGGTTTATTATATAAAAATATTCGAAAACAGTGCTATAAATAATGCAAATAAATATTTATTATTCTCTACACTCTTATGTTTCATCGCAACAACAAGAACATTCACATTTGATAGAATTTTTATTTTTATTAACCACAGAGTATAAAATAGTAGTCAAAATTTATGAAACCAGATCTCATGAGAAACAGTATTTTTATTAAAAATAAATAAAAGTAGTGGTTTCATAGTGTTGTGCCATGTTAAAATTGAATAATCTTTAATTTACTGCTATTTATTTTTTGTTATTTATTATGCTATATATATATATATATATATATACAAATTTTCTATTTAAACTTCATTATAATAATTTATATTAATAATTGATCATTATAAAAGTTTCGTGTAACAAAATCTTAAACGACATATGCAGCGTACAACCTTTATACAAATCTTTTTTTAATTAAAGTTGAATAATTTGATTATTTTTATGATATAACTTCAATATAACTGATTGTCATTCTCAAATGTTAATTTATTCTGTTTCTTTAACAAAACGTTATATTTGTGTAATGCTTTCTTCTTCTCACTCTGCGAAATATCAAGATTAATCATCAATTAATTTTTTTATTTCTCATAATGTTGATGGTAATTATATTAGAAAGAGATTTTAAAAACTAGCAAATAAAATATCCGAAGTACTTATTATTTAAAAATAATCCCTTGTAAACAACAATTTTGCAATATTTAATAGAATATAAATTTTGATTATAATACGAAAAAACTATTATCACACATCTTTATTACAAATCATTACATTATTTGAAGTATGTGTAACTTATAAGTAATACTGAAAAATACATAATATGGTTAAAAAGTCAAAACGTAATAGGCAGGAAAAGTCAGTTTTATCATGACTTTTCTTAAAATTAGCAGGCATAACGAAGAAAATCTAAAATCTCATTAAAGTTACCCCGATTTAATGCTATCGATTAGCCGTAATGAGAAACAAAGCCTGTAAGAGATTCATAGTAATTAGACGAATCTCAAGAATTTTCAAAATGAGTGGCCCATTCAAGCTAAGTTTATTCAAATTCGAAAAATTGAATGGAAACAGTTGCTAACGGTCAAAGTCGAACTTGCAAAAGGCAAGTATAGATTGACTCACTCCTGGAAAAATGAATCAATACAAAATATATTAATAACAATTATGTTAATATAAATTATATTTTTAATCGATATTTAATCGAAAACTTATCTATTTCATAAAGCTTGACCGAACTTATTTAATAAAATTAGTACAAGTAAATATTTGTATATACAATATTTTTAAATTTAATTACAGGTATATCATATTATTTGAAATTAAATTATTTTATGAAAAATTATGTTTACATTTTTATTTAAAGGAAAATATAACAAATTTTATTCATAAAATCAGAATGTATGAGATATAATTCCAAGATAAATTATTGTTATCAATAGTCTTTGTATAACTAACAACGTCAATATCAACTTTTACTATAAGTATTTATATGTTTGCTTCCTCGTGTAATTTTAAAATATCACAGCATTTATCATATTAATAAACATTCTTAAACTACAAATAAATGAATAAAGCAAATAAAAATGATAATTATTTTGATAGTAATGAAAATGGATATATGGCGGAGAATAGAGGGAAGTTGTATTTTAATTATTTTTTAAATTATCATAAGACACACATACGTACATACACGTACACACAATATTTTATACATAAAATTTTTCAGATTTAATTTGTTTCATTAGACGATATCATTCTTTAATCTTTGGTATTCGCAAAAATAAATGAATAAAAGTCTTAATAATAATTTAGTTGAGAGTTACAATGAAAATCGGATTGTTAAGATTAAAAATAGACCGAACTTGTTCTATTTTTTAATTGGTAATAATCGAATTACGATACTTTAGATCTTAAAATGTATTACATTTTATGATGAATAATGAAAACATGATTATTCTCATAATAAAATAATTGTAAATGTAGATATTACTGTTGGTTTGTCCACTTTTGTATTAAAACGTCACTGTTATTAAATATGACATATCTTTATTTATATTTTAATTGAACGATTGAATTAATTTAAAGTAACTATTTATATTCCAAAACATTAGAATATAAAATGTGATGTAATTCAGTATTTCATTTTTCGTAATGTGAAAAGCTTAATTTCAGAATAAAAAATCATTATCTATATAATAATATTATAAAGAAATTGGCAATAATAATTTTTTTCTTTAATCCGAATATAGACTAAACAATAAATGTAATAATTTTTATAATTGATAGAAAGGTCAAATTTCTGCAATATAAACAAAATGATTTTAAATCTTAGATTAATAAAACTGTTTTCTTCATAAAATTGGTTGTTTTTAAATATTGAATATTGTACTGAAACAATTTGAAATCATTACATAATTCACAAAAATTTCAAACTTTTTGAATGATAATAAATTTATAATCTAGACAAAATACAATTATAATAATCAGTGAATTCAATATGAGCTTGAGACTATTTTTACTAATTATAATGTAGGAGAAATTTTTTAAATAATTATTCATTTTTCCAATTTTACCAAGAAACTATGATATTCTCTTACATTTAAATAAAATATATTTTTAATAGATGATTATTAAACATTTTAAAAATACAAAATGTATAATGTATATATATATATATATATATATATTGAATAATGTATGATTTCGATAATATTAATCGATCGAAGCAGTTATTAAAAATGTGATATTTGAGAATATAATATTCATACATTATTGGTGTATGTTTATTTTTCGTAAAATTAGAAAGTACAAATAAATCTTAAGTGCTTTAACTTAAAAAATAATATAAATTACTAAATAATGGAGATATTGATAATAGAAGAAATTTACTTTGTGGTAAGTTCTAGTGTAATATTCTAATGTGTAATAGTTGTATTTAAAATTTTTGTTATTAAATTAAGTTAACCAATTTTACTTTTGAATAATAAATATTGAATTATAAAATTGTGTGTCTTTCAACAAAAATAATATCTATTAGATTCCATTCTTCCTTACACTTAAAAGTATTATGTCGATAATTGTATGTTCGTCACTGTTAAATTCACCTTTCACTCGTTATTACATTGACTCTTTCGTTTTGATCAAGAACCTTGTGCGACAAATCGATTGGATATTATTTGACATACTTTTTTTCTCTTCGTATTTTAGTGTTAAGTTTGGGTACTTGGGGAAAGAGGATTGGGTTTTTATTTTTTTGTTTGTAGTGAAAAAAATTTTAGGACTTTAATTCACCATAAAATTTCTCGTATAAAAGCATATAACATTCGATATTTAACAAATAATTATTTGTGAAACATCGGTATTTTTATGGGTTTTTCATATTATGCCCCATTACAATTATATTGTACTATGAAATTCAGTACGAAAATTTTTATTCAGTTCGATTATTTATTATTTTGTTCAGTACGAAAGAATTACATGGTAACAATAATTAAAATCTTGGTTATATATTTATTTACAAAATTTAAATGTATATAATAAAATATAAATTCAGTTTAGCGAAATTAAAAATACAGAAAATATATTATATCTTATAGATTCTACTTAAAAATATTTCAAAAAAAAAAAAAAAAAAAAAAAAAAAAAAAAAAAAAAAAGGGAACAAGTAATAAGTGGGAAATGATATAATTGATTGCATTGTTAGTTTAGCTACAAGTATCATAAATTTCATATTAATAACAAGTGATATTAACTATTGCTACGACTAAAAAAAAAACTAAGCACAAAATATTTAAATATTAAATGAAATTGAAAATGACGTATGATTATGCATTATAAAAAATTTCATAAAATAACGGAAAGATAAACGTTTATTTTATAATATTTCATCTCAAAGGATACGTTAGAATAATAAATTTGTCGTATAATGAGTTAGGAATAACTTTAGTAACATTTTCTAATGTGGTATATATTATTAAACTCGGTGGAACATTAATTCTACCTAAATTTACGCGTTGTTTACATATAAAAATATCGAAAACGTTTTAATACAGAATTATTAAGACTAGCTGATTGCATAAGACAGATGCCAACATTAGAAATGATCAAGAATCTTAGCAATATGTGAAGATATAAGGAAAAATATCAAATAAAATAAATTTAAATGGCAATAATGGTTTTAGTATTTAACGTCAACTTACGTAACAGCTAGAAAATGATCTTTTGTAAACAGATTCAATGAACTTTTCGTAATGAGGCAAAAGCTAGCGTAATAATTAAAAGTTCAATAGTTAAATACTTATTTTGTATTTGAATTGTGCAGATAATGGTAATAGTAAAAGCGAAACAATATATTATGAAATAATAGAGTACTTTGCTTTTCAATATTAATAGTCATAATAATAATAATAATAATAATAATAATAATAATAATAATAACAACAATAATAATAACAATAATAAATACAATAATAAATACAATAATAATGACAGAAACGACAACAACAACAACAACAATAACAACGACGACGACGACGACGACGACGACGACGACGACGATAATAATAGTAACGATAATGATGATAATGATAATAATAATGATGATGTAAATAATAATATAATAATAATAATTGTGGAAGATCATATTTTTCGATATTCAATCATAAAATAACTCGCTTCGATACAAATCTAGAATCATAATTATAACGAATAACTATGTAAATAAACTATGTAAGTAAGTAAATATTGAATAAGAAAGTCATAGAAAAGGTGAAATTTAAAAAGAAAAAAAAAATGTCCATACTAATATAATCGGATCTCGAGCGAGAGCCACTTCTGCAAATAAGAAAACGCAAGCGACATAAAGTGTTGGAAAGCATCATCATTTATTTATATTTATTTAAAAAATATTATATAATAAGTTCTTCTTACAGTAATAACAGTTTTCATAAAACTATCTATCGTCCAAGTCTTCATCGCGTATAAAATGTCAATCGAATAAATCTCCATATACACATAATATTTAAAGCAAAGTTTAAAGCCACTCATCCGATCGAGAAATTTTGATTTTCAAAATGATCATGTAAAGACGATTTTGAATTCCTTGAGCGAGTGATTCGTCACACAATTACTCACAATTACATGGGAGTGTAGTAGACGCGACGCGGCGACATAGAAGTCCGCGTCGCTTCATCTCGAGCTCGGTCGCGTTGCTCCGGGCGACAAACGCGGCCCGGTCGCGTCCTCGAGCCACGTCAGTTCCTAAAGCTGCGCTTCTTGAGCTTGGAGTCGGTCAGGCTTTGGCCAACCTTGATCTTCTGCCCGAGCTCCGCGGAGAAGTTGAATTCTCGTGGGGCCTCGAACAGCAGCACGATCGTCGAGCCCATTCTGAATTCACCGAAGAGCTCGCCCTTCTTTACCTCGAGATTGCGGAAGCGCGCGTCCTTGGAGCTCTTGCCGTCGGGCCACTTGTACGTGTTCGTCACGAGCTCCTTGTCCTTGTAGACGCGGATGGAGCCGACGTTGGTTGCCCCGACGGCCGTGTACGCCATGAAGCCGCCCGCCCACTCGCCAATGTAGACGACCCGCTCGTTCAAGGAGAAGAGGTCCGGTAGCCAGCTTGCCACCCTCGGGTTCACGCTCAGTAGCTTGCCTAAGAACAATGGGAGGGGGTTTCTTTTACAAGCGCCATGGGAGTCGCCGATGTTCGAGTGCGAATGTCTGTTTTAACGGTCCATGCCAATTCTGCCGGGAGGAACGTTATTTGCACTCGTGACGTAGCCCGGCAGAGTTAGCAAGCGCTTTAAGGAAGCGCTACTTTAATAAGCGATAAGCCACAAGCATTCTGTCGCGGTCACGGCCATGTACCGAGTAGTGCGATGTAAATGTCAAGGGACTTGACATTTAGTTGCACATAACATTATTCGCTTTCGTCTATATAAATGCGTGTTTAATGAATTCGTCACACAGAATGCTTTAAGCATTGAGTCAATAAAAATTCTTCCCCTCACGATAAAGTGAATTTTCAACGATAAAACGATGGGGCTCCGTTGATTAATGCAATTTGCCGTCAAATTATATGTAAATAATTCGAGCGAATCATTATTCGTGATGTTGCTGCAAATCGGAGTTGAAAATTAAAAAAATAATTTAAATACTGAACTAAGTCGCGCAGGTCACAATTCTGCGTACACAACACATTTAACTCGTATATGTTTTTTTTATTATTTATGAGTATTGCTTGTTTGGCTGAAAGTTGTTCACATTTTATCCGTATCGATTATTCCATTATAAAAATCATTAAATTTTATATTGCTGCCTAAGTATTTATCATTGAATATATGTTGCAAAATATGAAGCATTTTTTCAATTATTTTTAAATCGTACATAGCTATATGTTTTTTGTTATCAGTAAGCTTAAATAAAAATATTTAGCGTATGCCGAACGTTACTTCCTTAAAATATTTTATGTTTAATTTACAAGTAATGATATTTATATAAGTCTTTTTATTTCTTTTTTTTTCAGATGAAATGATCAACCGTCGTTCGTACAAATAAATAAAAATTGCTTTTTAAATAATAGCGAATTTTACGAAGAGACTTAAAGCTTTAACGGCTAAAATCTATTCATTTACAAATGTTTAATAATATCGCTATTAATGTTAGATGAAATTCGCTCATGCATTGCTCATATAAGGAAATAGGAAATTTGTTCAAATCTAACGAATAATTAAAAAGGGACAAAAAATTAGCTGCAGTTTGTGTTTACGATACTCTTACGTTTGCAAAAGGCTTCTTATAGTCATAGATAAAACCTTGATTCGTATAATTCACTGAATCTTAATAATGATAATTATAATGAGAAAGTATAAAATCTTGATTCGTATAATTCACTGAATCTTAATAATGATAATTATAATGAGAAAGTATAAAACCTTGAAAGTGTCTTCGTAGTTTTATCGTCCAATCTACCGCACTGTGGAATCTATGGTAATCCCCTGGCGCCAAATAAATTGTCAGCTGATACAATATATTTTCGGGATTCTTTAATAAGCTGCTAACGTAATCATCGTCTACACTTGTCTTCAGCTCCATACTGTTATTGTCTACTTGTGGCCAATTTGGTTCACCTAAGAAATGCTGTAAATTATATGTCATTCCTTTGACTTGTTCCACTTTGCACGATGTAACTGGCCCAAAATGCAAGATCTTGCCATCCGAAGGCGATACCTGGGATTTAAATATTTCGCCTTTATAATTTCATTGTATAAGGATTATCTGCAAATGTTTATCGATCGGAGATGCTCTTCTTACCATACTTGTGTTTTGAGCAATAATCCGAGCATTTGGCTTAAGTGGTCTGACAAAAAAATCTGAAAGGCTGGGAAATTCCGTTAAAGATACATCGACTTCGTCTAAATTTGCTTTGAAAAGTTTTGCATAAAAGCTATAAATTGTTGATCGTAGAGAAACTGGCAGCTCCAAACTTGCAAAGCCACCCCAGACTCTGCTTGTGATTCGTAGAGGTAATAAACAATAACATTCAACCTACAATATCACGATAACATTGTAATGTAACACTGAAATGTCAATATTGTAATAATAATATTGTAATAATAAAATTTACTTTGTAAATTGATAGCTGTTATAAGTCAATCGCTAATATATTTCACAATGCTTAAAAATTTCAGTGGAAAAATTGGAGTTTAAAATTATTGAAGATACCTTATTATTAACAAAATATTCAAAATTGAATGGAATTCGATTTAAATGAACTAATTTTATATAAAAACGACAGTGCAATAATCGAGCATATAATGTACAGGTTTTTTTTTTTTTTTTTTTTTTTTTTTTTTTTTTTCTTTCTTAAGGATCGTGACTAGATTACCATTAATCCCTCTATGGGTCCTTTATTGACTTCATTTCTTCTTCTAAAATATCTCCATTGTAATACGGCTAATAAAGAAATGCTGAGCCCAAGTTGGACTTTCCACTGCCACCTGCGTACATATGCTATCCATGAACTTTCGCTCGTTTGAAATTTACTTGTATTCCCAGTGGTCGAGTGATTTCTTACTCCTTGTCTTGATATAGATGTAACAATATTTTTTGCAGAACGAATTACTGCATAGGAACATTTATATGTAATTCGAGCTTCATAGCTAAAACATATCAATGTTTTAAGAACATTTATCGCATGCGAATTTGTACGATTGAAGGTAACAAAAAATCTTCAACTTTATATTTATGATATTTTATTATCTAAGTCATGATTTATGTATACATATTCAGTTGAGATAGACAGTCTTTTTGAATTGCAAAGTGTAAACAAATGAATTTCAGAGACTACAGTCTTATCATTGATGAGTCATCTTACTCGAATAAGCCATTCAAACAATGTAAATATAATATAATTATTGTTCTGCGATTTAGTTATTTTCAATAATAAAAATGTAATATGTACGTAGGTTGAACCGTGTAGAAGAAAGCTTTAACTAATTACACTTTACAAATTACTTTAATCAACGAAAAGATAATAAATTTCACCAACTTACCTTGCTATTTCAATTGCAAACTTCAAAATTCTACTTATCGACATATTCTTTAATCTTATAAAAATACAAACGTTTCATTTACTAAAAACCTTTGTTGAAATCACTTGGCGTCATTCGGAGTCATATTAAATATTTTTTTAATAGTCAGCTGTCATGCAGGTTATGTTGCGTTGTTTTGGTACGCGCGTGATAAATATCTAGAGATTTTTTTGACCTTGATACGATAGAAATAACTATGAGATTACTAGGGAAATTCAGAAGTTAAGTTCAACTTCTAGAATCGATCACGTGACGACATTTTTCCTCCTCGCCGCAACCCTGCAATACATATATAAACGCCTTCTTACGCTTCAACAGAGAATACAATTTAACAGAGAAACAAGCAAGGCGTTTAGTTGTTTTAATAATTGTTATATTTTTTCATTATAAAATTATCTTAAAATGCTGAAGGTATTGGATATTTCTTTTAGGCATACCATTGACAGTGGTCTTTATTTGCAGAACTTTACATTTTCGGTTAAACACGTGTACAATACATGAAATATACTGTCAATTAATTGCAAATTGTATTTATAAGATTCATTTGATTAACGATTCTGGATTATGATCAAATTTACATTGTCGCACCTACAATTAATATTCTTTTTAGCAATTTTTGAATATTAATTATCTTTTTTAAAAATAATATTAATAAACAAATCGGCGCTTATAACTTCTGTCTGTAACTAAAGATTTAGGGTGACTCGATACAATTTTATCGAGCATTACTGTGTGTCGAAATGAATTTTAACATTAATTTTCATTAACATATTATTACAGGGACTCGTAACTTTAGTAACTGGTGGAGCTTCTGGACTTGGCAGAGCAACTGTGGAAAGATTTGTCAAACAAGGTGCAAAGGTTATTATCGGAGATCTCCCAACATCCAAGGGAAATGAACTTGCGACAGAACTTGGAAGCTCGGCTATTTTTGCACCTTTAAATGTATGTTTATTTAATATGTTTTTCTCTCTTAAACCATAATACAACAAATAATGATAAAAATAGATACATTTACTTAGAATACCCTTGAATTTATCAACTACGATATACAAGAATTTTTATTTTATCAACTTCCCATCGTCCTTTGAAATATTTTTAAAAATATTATATTTTTCTAAGCATAATTTATTAAAATAATTATCTAAAAGTGTTCGAATAATGTTATAAAATTATTTTGAATATAAGAAGATGGTTGCTTATTATGTTACCTAGAAATACAAAACGTTTAATTATGTTTTTCAACATTTGTTTATAGAAATAAAATGAGTACATTTCATTTAATGTTTTATAAATAAATTTACAATTATAAGTCAATTGTATTATTAATGTAACGTCGTATTTATTGCAATACTGATTATGATATCTTGATAGATAGAATGAAATGTAAATATTATAATTTATATTAAATTCATAGCCATAATTCACACAAAATTTACAATAAAAACATTTTAATTTCCTAAATTTATGTAAATCATCAGTTTTCCTACATAAACAATTCTTCGAATTTAATATTGCCGATCCAACCAAATCATCTAATTATTGCTTAGTCATTGGTGAGTCATGTTGAGTGAGCAATATATCCGTTGAAATCGAATACAAAGATAAATTATACTTTCAGAGTAAATTTAATACTTATAAATTATAATTAATTGATAAAATTCTTAAATTACAATATACAATTCTTTTAAAAAGAATAAAAATGTCGTTTAGGTGACGTCGGAGGCTGATATTCAAAATGCACTAGATCTTGGAATAAAAGAATTTGGAAAGCTCGATGTTCTTGTTAATGCTGCGGGTGTCGCAGTGGCTTATAAAACTTATAATTCACAAAAGAAAGCACCGCATTTGTTGGAAGACTTTGAAAGAATTATAAAAATAAATACAATTGGTACTTTTAATGTGATTAGACTGGCGGTCGGTCATATGGTGAATAATGAGGCAAACGTGGATGGACAGCGTGGAGTAATTATAAATACTGCCAGTGTAGCAGCTTACGATGGTCAGATTGGACAAGCAGCTTACGCAGCCAGTAAAGGTGCAGTTGTCTCAATGACGTTACCGATTGCCCGCGATTTAAGTCGCGATGGTAAGGAATTTCATTCAACGATATATAAGAAATATTGCATTAGAGTGACGAATATTAGTTTGGTCATCGAATATATTGCCTATATGTTTTAACATTGTAGGAATTCGAGTTGTAACGATTGCTCCTGGACTCTTTGACACGCCTCTTTTGGCTTTATTGCCGGAGAAAGTGCGCATCTTCCTTGCCAAAAGTATTCCGTTTCCTCAGAGATTGGGAAAACCAGAGGAGTTTGCACAATTAACACAAGCCATAGTAGAAAATCCATTATTGAATGGCGAGACAATAAGATTAGATGGAGCTCTTCGTATGCAACCTTAAACTTGTGCATTCATTCGTTCTACTTTGTAATGGCATACTTTCGACATCTCTTAATTTCGAAAATAATTATATATATATATATGTTACCACGAAATTATTACCGTTGAATTACTACCGTTTCAAGAAATTTTAATAATATTTATGTTATTTGTATGTGATAACTTTCACGTGATGTATTTAGAGTGATTATTTTAAATAATTTTTTAAGATGTTATTTTTTAAAAACTTATAATCTTTTGAATTTTAATACGGTTAAACAATAATGTTGCCTTTGAATAAAGAGGATATTATGTTTCGTGTAATGGTATTAAATAAATTAATAAACAAATAAATTTTTACACGCAACATAATTGTAATTCTTCTATATATAATTTACACGAGCAATTAGCTCGGGGGGTCTGCTATAACAGATAACGGTCGCTGATTTATACGCTTTTTTTTTTTTTAATTATTTTTCTTCCTTTGTTTTTTTTGTATTTTTTTTTTCCTCGTTAGTAGTTGCGATTCTTTGTACATTATTACTCGCTTATTTTTAATCAATTGCGTTTTTAATTTTTTGTAAATTACGTTGCAAAAGTCGCAACTCGTCGTTTCGAGCTTTTTATTATATTGAGTCACTAATAACCGTGAGAGAGCAGAGATATACAGGTTGATAGACATGTACACACACCTAACAAAATTGCATACGCATCGCTATTTACTATTCTCTTTCTCTGAGCTTTCTCTCTCTCTCTCTCTCTCTCTCTCTCTCTCTCTCTCTCTCCTCCCTTTCTCTTATTATATGCATATGCTATACTTTTAAAAATTAATATTAAGTTATTGTTTTCGTCGCGTTGTTACATGAAAATATGCATGAGTTGCCTACGCCATACCATACTCCTCTTTATGTATGCGCGCTTTTATTTATGCTTATTTGTAAAGAACATGATGTGTGTATACATGTGAGGTGTCTTTAACGAGAAGATGAGTGCACATAATGTCCTGGCTTTTCATCCATTATATTTATATATATATATATATATATATATGGATTTATATGGATAAGTGTGCCTGGAACGAGGGGAATCGGAGATATGGAGAAGGTGTCGGAAGGCTTTCGCGCGCGTGTGTCTGCGTATGTATATACATATGTACATATAATTATGCATGTACCATTAGATGTATGAGCATACACGCACGGGCGCGTGAAGCCTGCGTTGCTTTATATTTAGTCCTCGTGTTTACCCGATTACCTCGGGGATAATCGTAGATGTCAAGCTGCTAGTGTCGGGGTAACGTACGTCGATGACTTATAACGGAAGAGCCAATTTTATTAATTTTGCATTATTAAGGCAGGACAGCGTCGCGACGACGCCTCCGTCTTTGGGTTAGGTAGCGCCGAGACTCAGTCAATCCTAGGCGTTTGACTCCTTCAGGTTCTGGAGCTTTTGTAGTTGGTCCGGTTGGAGCTCATCGGGTATACTGGCTCGACCACCGAGAAGCATCTTCCCAGTGGGCACGACTTCGTCCGTGGACGTGGAGTCGGCGTCGCTCCCGGACGAGCTGCTGATAGGAAAGGGAGCCGAGTCCGTCGGCTGGTCGTCCATTATCGACTTATCCTCGGATTCGCCCATCTTGAGCTTTGCCCTTGCCGACGGCGGCGCCTCCACCTCGGGCTTATTCGCGTTCGGCCGATGCTGCTCCTGAGCTGGCTTCGACTCTTGCTTCTGTTGCTCTTGCGGATTTTCTTCATTCTGCAGCTCGTCCTCTTCTTGGACTTCCTCGATGCCAGGGAAGGGACGGTCGACTTCCTCCATAGGCGTCGCTGCCGTTATGACTATTTGTGCAACACCGAGACCGACGCTATCATTCTCGTTCGCGGGGTTTTTTTTCTTCACTTCTCGGGAAATTTTTACCACCTCTCGTTCCACGTTTTCATCCTGGAATAAGGTTTATTATTTTTTTTGTTTGTTAGTTTTTATCACATAAAGGGCCTTATTTGCTTGTTTTTTTTGTCTCTTTTTTTTTCTAAAGTTTTTCATGAAAAAAGCAGATGGAAAAGTCGCACAACTTTATGGACGATTTACTCTTTACAAGACATTCTAAGTAGATAATATCTGTATCAAATTAAATAATTCATCATTTTAATTTAACGTATTGCGTTACATGTTTTTTTACGTCGACTTATTATTCGTATAATAAAATTCATCATTAAATTTAGGAGCAAGTTGATTTTAGAATTTTTTCATTTTTTTTCTTTTTTCTTCTTTTTTGAATTTAGACATTTTTCCATTTGGATTTTCATGCTGCATTCTACTACAGGCGAGTATATACAAAATATCCGTAATTTGCTCTACATAGTACTTTTTTTTTTTTAATGAAAAATAAGTTAATTTATGATATACCATACAGTATTTTTCCATTTATATCAAATAGTTTTTAATATTTTTTGCACACATGTGAATTTATGTTTTTAAAATTATACATGCAAAATGTATAATAGTGAATATTTTACGATGAAAATTTACACTGAAAATGCTTTAATACTAGCTATTATGTAATGAAAATTATTCTCCTGTTAATGAGATTAATTATACATTTATATGTAGTATAGTGATACTATTTCATAAAAACCAAATAATGTGCAGAATAGAAATTATTAAAAATGACGTATTCCAATATTTCTTTCACCCTCTAGAAAATAAGTATTATTTTATTATATTTTATTTAATTTATTTATACTTAATATACTTTCAATATGGGTCAAAAGCTGTTTTGGTTATGTGAAAATTTTTGAATTATATAAATCGTAGCATAAATATCAGACATTCATAATTATTTTTACGAATATATATACATATTATTAAGTATTTATTTTATTAATAATAAGCATTGATATTACAAAAACTTCAGCGTTAATTGAAAAAACTCTTATAAATACGAATAAATTGTTATAACAAATGCATCTAATTTAAATTGAGAAAAACATTCATGCAACTTACTATTGCAAATCTTTATGTAGGATTAAAATTTGTTAATGTTAATTATAATTTAAAGAAAATATATGTATGAAAAAATACTGTGATATTGTCTGTATGCAAAATAATGTTTTAAATGTCTAGTAAATGGTGAATGTAGCAGTAAAATATAAATCTAAAAAATTTATTTAATAACTATAAAATTATATTAAAATTGTACTGTTAATAACAACAAAAATGTTTTTAAACAATAATTAAATTTATTATTAAATTATATATGTTTAAAAAAATACATCCAAGTTCTCTACTTTTGTTCTATACGAGCGAAATTTTAATGTTTGAAAATAATTAAAATAATAACAATATTTTTGCTATTATTTCCGTAAATGTACATATTTTTGTTTCTTTTTTTCTTTTTTTCTTTTTTTTTTTTAATCAATACATGATTTTAATTTGTGTCATTTGATTGTTTTGTAGTTAAATTCATGCAATAATTTTTAATACGTATGTCGTACATACCTACATTAATTATTCCTGAGAAGGATCAAAAGCAAGTAAAAACATTTTTATTGACCTATACTTTATAAATATGAAGTTATTTTTTGGTATTTGATAATGATTTGATATCTATTTAAATTACGGTTTCAAGTGAATACACAATCAGATCAATCGATTGTTGTTAATGTATCTTGTAATTAAATTAAACAAATCAATGCATAATAATTTAAGTCATTTATTGAAGTAAAAAGTTTTAATAAGTGAAGAATGTTTTAATCTATAGAAATAGAATACGAGATTTAAATCAAAATCAAAACCAGTTTTTCATTATGATTATTGAGGTAAATAACTAAAACATATTTATGATATTTGGAATTCATAAAATTTATCTGAACAATAAATAATAGAATAATGACATACCTCCTCATTATTGCTTTCATCGGGAGCTTCCACCACTACATTATAAGCACATGAAAATCGTATATGATAAGTAATTGAAAATATTTGTATATAAGCGATAATTTATAAAGGAACTTGCCTACTATTCCTGGTGCTTCTGTGTTCTCGTTATCAAACTGTAGGCCATATTGTTCCTTCTGATCCCTTGTTAAATTCATGTTAAAGTTATCCGTTTGATCGCCGTTGACAAATCCTCGCTCTCTCATTTCTGTATTAAAGAAGAAGTTAAATAATTTTTACTTGTATTCTGTGTAGATATTGATTTAAGGTACTTCGGTTAGAGAAAAAAAAGAGTCAATTTGTTATAATTTCTTCTCAAATTAGTTGCCTTTCAATAATAAGGATTTTTACACATTTTTGTCATGTTTCTTTAGCGCATAATACAACATTTATATAATAATAATATCATATAAGCTGTGAAGAAGAGGCCTTTATCTTTTAATTAAAAAATTTTACATAAACGCGAAAAATTTCGCGTTGCCTCGTTTAATAATAAATTATAATGAAAACGTTAAGTTAATTATAGCAACGTTGTTTCATTCTAAATACAGCTAATATTTATTTTAAATCAATATAGCTATAAGTGAAAATGCATAAGATCTCCAATATAAGACAATTTAGCACAGCGTGCCATTTAAAAATAATAAGAAAAACAATTTTTTATTAGGTTCTACTGGAAGTAGAATTTCGCCGTAAAATTATAATGTTGAATTATGTAATAATGAAATGAAAATGAAGATTCATGAATGTAAAGTTTATGCAAAATTAGAACTATAGAATGACATTGTGAAAAAATCATTACAATAACAGTGTTAATTTATTCGGATGATTTCGATTTAAATTTTATTATTTTTATCATTGCACAAGTATTAAATTAAATTAATGTATTCCTCTAACATTATACAAAAGTTTTATATTTTCTACGTTAATATTGCATTCACAATTATAACGATAAATGGATAATGTTAATTTGAGAAATGTATAAGTTATTTCATAATCATTCTTTCATAATACTTATGCAATTTTTATCTTTATATTAATTAGTTTTCTCTCTATCATCTTCACGCTTATCTAAAAAATTATTTTTCACTGCCTAAATATCTTCTTACGAACGATTACATTAATATCACATTTGTAACGTATGCAAACTAATTATTAATTTATAATAGTTATAAATTAGCCATCATTGCTAAATCAATGCAAATGAAAAGATTCTAAACGATTGACCTTATTTGAATAATTGTAACAGAAATGAGTAAAATACATATTACATTGCATTATTTAAGCACGATTTTAATTTGTTAATGCAATATTATAAACAATCCTGTGGCCATATACACGAGCATGGAATAAATTAGTAGGTAAACATTTAAAATTTAGAAGATGGAATATTCCATTAAAAGAATTTTTTTATTTGATCCGAAACGTCTTTTAACATTTGATTTTTTTTTTTCTTCAAATTTGACACGTAAAAATGACTGATCACTAAAAGTTCGATCGCAAAAGATATATGCAAAGACCAGGGGCAAAAACAAGAGAATTTTTATATAAATAATTGCTAATATGCTGTACTTACCGTTCATGAGCGACTGGGCGAGTTCCTCGTTCAGCACGAACTCCGGTATTTCCGGAGGGGTGAAAACAGGGGGTGCAGAGCTCGGCGGCGTTACATCCTCCTGCCAAATGCAATTACGCTTTATGTTATGCGTATAGATAGGCATCGTGTTTGCTGACGCTAAATAGATTTATTTGGCTTCGTATTATCGAAAGCGCTGACTTTCTAAGCCGTATACTTTAATTTTTCCAACCGATCTCTACTCGCATCAGACCTTTAGTTTTGTTATTGCTTTTATCTTTCGTATTTCAATGGTTATTATTATTAAGCTTTTTGTCATCCGTAATTGGAATAATGTATTTATAGAGGTAATTGATATTAGATTGTAAGACTTTGTTTATCGTACATTTATATTGTCAGCCGCGAGATTTTAGTATAAAGTATTTGAATTGAATTTACGGCCTTTAATTTTAGAAACAACGATTTGTTCAAATATACTTTCTTAAATTGTTCATTCAAGGTCAAAGTCCATTTATATTCGAACGTATAGTTATTGAAATATAAAAAAATATTTATTCCCTTCGTAGATGATGAATTCAAGGCAAAGTGTATATATATTTACAAAATACATTGCAATCTGTATTTAAAGTTAAATATAAAGAATTTTGTTTAAAATGTTTCTTATTTCGTGTGCATTATTCACGAGCTTCACTAACGTTCAAAATTAGATGGGAAATATTTCTTGTTTAAACAATGCGTTGCTGTCTTTGAATGTTGGGTCAATTAGTTTCCTAGTTGATAAAGTTAAAGATAGTTGAATTTCAATTGATCGTTGAGCACCGCTAAGTATACTTACACCGCTGTATTCTCTAGATAACAAGAGCTTGCTGACCTTGCAAATTACAGATTCTGATATTGTAGAGGACGTTAGTTGTCCCTTATGAAATAAATAATGCTATTATAGATCATTATAATAGTGAAAACGAGATTATCCGCAGATATATGATGATTTGTTCAACATTTCAAATTCAATACCTTATTCTAGTTTACATTTGGAGTTTTTAAATAAATTTTCCAAATTCTGAAATTCTGTACGCGACTAGGATCAAATACTGAATTTTGTTCGATTATGCCAATGGAAAAACTCCAATTACATAAAGGCAAATGCAACTTAATAACTAATATATTGTTCATTTGACCATGATTTTGGACTCGTTACGAAAATCCTATTTCATTTTCACGTAATTGCGCTCAATAAGTACAGAGGCAATTAATCGTTGTTCGGAACTTGAAATTATTATCAGTCGCAAAAAATAGCATTGAAAATTCATTTATTCCCTAAATTGACGTTACGCGGGGAATTAAGTACTCGTCTGCGCTTGCAATGTAATCATTATACGTTCGAATAAACGGTCAAAACCGTTTTGTGTATTTCGATGAAAAAAAAAAAAAAAAAAAAAAAAAAAAAAAACAACTCGTGATACCATTGCCCAAATGACCTCGAAGATATCGACGGAGATATTACATAATTATAGTGTATTAAGTTGGGAACGAATAGAAGAGTAGATCAATGTAAAAATCAAACTAAGAGTTTACTAATGTCAGTGTTATATTCTCTGCTATATACTTAGAATGTAGAGTATTGACTGAAAAAAGTAAATTTAAAGCATAAAAGTCTTTATATTTATATTTAGGCAAAAATATTGTCCTTCTTAAGACTGCACTTTATTCAATAGACTCCGTTAAAATCTTTTATGAACTGACTTTTAACGCTGTCTTTCATTAAAATTATCCACCCTTTTAAATTTAAAGATTTTTGCTTGAGAATTCATGTTTTTATATTTTTTCATGCTATAAACTATTTTCTTTTGAGTGACTTTTTATTTAAAACAAGCTTCCTATAATTTTTTTATCTCCATTAATTATACCTAGATTTAGGAAAAATTGTTTTATTCTATTTGGAGATTAAACGAAACAAATCACGAAGATATGCAGTTATAATTATTTTTGTCGAGAAAATTTCTTTTGCATTTTAATATGTACACTCAACACTGGCGATGTATTAATTTTAATAGTATAACTTGTTCACGCACGAGCAAATTCATCGAATACTTGCTTCATTTTTATACTTTCACTACCGTACAAGCAAACCTTCAAGAACAGTTTACAAATCCTTTAAATTGCCATTCTAATATCTCTAAATGGTTTAAAAGCTCGATTTTTACCGGCGTTTCTCTCTTACCGACCGAGCGCCTACTTATATTCTTTACCCAACACACGTCACACTACTTTATTAGGTTTGCTGCTTGTCCTTAATAATCAAGTGTCCGCGTGACGACGAGATGTCGCGATAGCTTAAATCATTGCCAGTCCTCTCGCGATCTCGCAATACTCCCTACGCACTCTCGACCATTCGTCAAGTATTTAAAAATGTTGAGCCCCGCGGTATATAGGCGCTCCCATGCAAATCCAACGCGAGTTGGTAGCAACGTATACTCAAAGTTTGGCAGCGACAACCCGATTCAAGTCAACCTGGACAGTATCTTATATTCAGGGACGCACCTCGGGTGTAAGGGGTGAGCCGTCGGGTGCGCAGGGCTCGACGACCAGCGAGGGGAAGAGTCCTTGCTGTCCATTGATTTCGCCCTCCCACCAGCCGTCGTCGATGTCGTGGGGCATCTTCTTCAACACTATTATAATGTCGCCCTCCATGAAGGTCAATTCCTCGTAGCTGGTCGCGTCGTAGTCGTACAGGGCGATGCAGTACTCCCGTCCGTCGTCCACGTGGTTCTGCGCAGGCGCGGTTATGGACGCCGGTACCACAGTTTCGTCCACCACCTGTCGTTCAGCAATTGCACGTGCTTTTTGAGCTAACGTTTGTCTCGGCGTTGCCTTCGATATTTAATTATAAATCGATTAACCGCTATGAATAGATATCGTTTGGTAATCCGCTCGTGGATCTTCCAGTATCGAGCCGAAAAAAATTATTGGATTATTTTACCGATCGTTCGTTGGAATGGCTTACGTATTCCAGTAATCTTTGATAATAGTGATAGAAAAAGTAATCTTTGAGATTGCATTGAGCGAACGCGCGCTTATGATGCTGAGCTACTTTTAAGAATTTTGAAAATACCAGCCTAAATAGATAGTATGGTTGTAAATATTATAATTATGTAATGGGCGCTATCGCATTAGTAATAAGGTGAAGAAATTTAGTGTCCATGGTCATATCAATGTCAAATTTATTGCGAATGGTGTTTATTAAAATATTTTTACTCTCCTTAATGACCATTAAACGAACAAGTTTAGTCAAATTGACTAATTATTGTTTTGTTCCCGAGATACCGTTAAACACTCGCTCAGCTACATTATTTTATAATCCAAGTCGAAAGACCGATTAAATAAATTTCTGTTTAATATAAATCACAAATTTCGATTAGTTGATGTAAAATCCAATTGGCTCAAAGGAAGTGAAATATCGTATAATCAAAGAGGCGAAGTAAGTTAATCAAGGGATGATTTATGTCAATTTAATTCGTTAAAGGTCTGGTGCAATTCCTTTGTCGACAATCGGATTTCTTACCATCTGTTGCTGCTGTTGCTGCTCTTCTTCCTCTTGTTGTTGCAGCAGCAGTTGTTGTTGTTGTTGTTGTTGTTGTTGTTGTTGTTGTTGTTGTTGCTGCTGCTGCTGCTGCTGCTGGAAATGGGCATCAGGGTCGATGGCGTCGTGGTCGTCGATGGTGTAGTCGACCGAGGAGAAGGATATCTGTTGCATGAGCCCGGGGGTCTGGGAGGTGAGGCCGCTTTGTTGACCGGCCTCGGGCTCGTGCTCCACGTCCAAGTAATTTTGCGGCACGTAGCCCTCCTCGCCCCGATAGTTGCGCGCCCTCAGCCATCCGTCGCCGTCTCCCTCGCCGACGACCTCCAACTGCTCGCTCTCCACGATCGATAGTTCGTCCGGATTTTGCGCCTACGTAAGTCATAGATGATCATTCGAAGCTACCCTTACGAGATTTTATTCCGTGACTTTGCTGGGACGATCGGGAAGCCGAAGAGGACGACTATTCATGATCTGTTTTGGCGAGCTTCGCAACCTAACGCGGATATCCCGTATTATCTTATGTCCGGGCGTCGAAGTTGGCATATGGGATTTCAATGGACGACATCTGGATGACAAACTTCGTACATATTTGTCCGCGAATTCGTTGCTCTTTATTCAAGACATTGACTTGATTATTCGTGGTTGAGCCGAACAATAAAATCGGCAGTTGGCCCCGTTTGGCAGTTGATTCGCGATTTTAAATGATTTATCCTTTGATCACTAGATGTTTTATTCAACATTCAAAAGAACTATTCAAATGCGCGATTATATTTATTATTTATTAAATGATGTTGTTTAATGGAATTCGATCGATGGAATGGAATCGGCGCAAGTGTCATTTGTAGATGATTAGTACAGCATTTATTCCCCATTAATTAATTATTCATCGACAACGTTAAGCTTTCGTAGGATGATATCTTTAACGACTGAGGTGTAATCGTTGGTGAAGTAATGAAAATTCCTCAGTGTATGCTTGAATTGGCCAAAAAATGTCGATATAAGAATTATTGAGAAATTTGAAAAAAACAAAATAAATGGATTGTGCGAGTGCGTATTATTATTTTTGACTTTAGTAGCGCATTTCACTACACGAATGTGTGTCATTAAATGACCCTTTGCATTTTCAATGATGACATGGATGAAAATTCATTGTATTCACGAGATTTCGTAAATCCATTGAAATTACAAAACCAGTCTCTTTCCTAATCTAATTATTTCATCGCCGTGACGATGAAAAAAGAGATTAAAAGAAATATACGAAAAATCCATACCGTGTAGGAGTAAAGTGCGGTGCATTTATAGATGTTCTGACCCAAAATGGTGTCGGACGTCGCGTGAACATCGGCGATATTTCCGCGATCGTTGCTGTTCTCTTCGTTGCCCCAGTCGGCCGAAGTCGGATCGTCCCAACCTGCCGTTATCTCATCTATTCTCTGTTTCTCTTGCTCCAATAGAGCTGCAATTCACATTATCTTATTCAAGGATTTCTATGGTTTACAAGGACTTTTTAAGAAAAACGCGACGTTTTTACATCTCAAGCGTCTAGACATACAGTTGCTCGCGTATGCCCAATTATTTTAGCGTAGAAGCACTTACTTGGCGAATACTCGATTAAATGTAATAATCGTTGTTCAAATTCTATCTATTACTTAATGTATTATTATCTAGCCTTTGTATTACTTTTAGAAAAAAAAAAAAAAAATATATATATATATATATATATATATATATATATATATATGTATATAACGTGATAACTACCTGAGTTATTAGTGGGGCTCAAACCTTAAATTGAAATGATAATTCGGTAAGATAATCATTGATTACATGTTGACGTATCATAATCACTCCCATCCCAATTCCCTTTAGTGCCATTTTAATTTTATTTATCAGCAAGTATCCGTTCACCCTTATGAACGCTTTTCAGCAATTTTCCCCGCAAAATACACATAGTCCAACGGCAATGAAGATGTGTCTTACCATCGACCTCGGCGCTATCGTGTCTTTGGCGCTCGTCGGCACCCGAGTCCTCGTCATCCTGCAGTTGCTGCTGGTGATGGCCCGCTGAGGAGCCGCGTCCTGGCCTTTCGACGGTCGTCAAATCGCTTCCGGCGTCGTTATCGCTGTCGTAAAACGAATCCGACGATGGCTGCTCCTGCGCACGTAATTCAATTTTATTGCCCCAACGTAAATCGAATAACCGTATCATCGTCGTAAGCTCGTGGCAAGCCTTATGCGTGTCCCGACAGGACTTTATGATGGGATCTCTCTTGCCCGTAGTTTATGAATGTACAGAAGTGCGGAACTATCGCGCGGAGTAAGGGATCTCTATGATTAGTTATAATGCCAATAACGGTCCACCTATTATTATTCAATACGTATACGAATTTTTATAACCTACTTAACTTGACTTTTGACCTACTACTTGCAAAAAATTTGTTATTAAAATAGTGAATAGGTTGGGAGCATCGATTACAAGGACGACGATATAAGCGACACATTAGATATTATCAACGCCAGAGATTTAGCCTTGGAGCTCTGTGCAAGACAGCCCCGACTTCTGCACCGTTAACGAACAATTAGCGCGATCCCTTGCATTTTTCATATTTATTGGTATCGGAGGGTAGTGAGGAGAAGGTAGTGAGGGGATGATTGGACGTTCACTAATTATGCACTAATTCTTCGAGCAAGCATCGAGAAAGAGTTACGTCGAGACGCGCACAAAGGCCGGGATATTCTGTAATGTTGGAGTCTGGGTAAAAGAGGTCCAGACTACAGCGCGGAAAGACAGAAGAAAGAGAGGAAATTTAATTACCGCATTGCCGGAAGCATCGGTTCTGATGGACAGCGAGCTAGCCGAGCGCGGTATGTCCTGCACACTCAGCGTTTCCACTTCTTGTAGCCACTCGTCCACGTTGACTATTTTTGTTATTTATTTCCGTAGTGGGTAGAGGAACGGCCATGCGTAAAAAAAAGAAGTAAAACAAACAATAGAAAGAAAGAAATGATGAGATTGCAATTAAACGACAATAAAACATTGAAACAGAGCTGTAATTTGGTTTCTGGGATTGGATGGATTTTTCTTTTGTAAATGGTTCGTCGTCATTGTCGTCGTCCTTATTATTATTATTATTATTATTATTATTATTATTATTATTATTATTATTATTATTATTATTGATGCAATTAAAACGTATGTTGCGACAATTGTATGAAAGTTTTGAATTTAATATTATCGAAATAATTTATCATTTCAATAGATTCCAAGATATTTATGGATTGATATATTAAATAAGTTGGTAGTTTATAGATTTTCTTAATATTTCGGAGTAACAAAAAATATAGGTAACTCACAACTATCGAGCTCATTATTCAATTTGTAAAATCAAATAATACATAGAATAAATGGGATAATTCAAATTTCTCTATGATTAAATTAAAGATTTAGCCGGAATTTGGACGGAATAGATTAATCGTACGAAATTATCCGTTTCATGTTATCATCGTTGTCAACCGTTGACAATCGTTATTTTCAAAAAAAAAAAAAAAAAAAAAAAAAAAAAATAATTTTATTATTGAAAATATTGCGCAGAGGCTCCAAAGTCACAAGATTAAAATTTTAAGTACAATTTTTTTCGTTAGTAAGATATTTATTTATATGCAATACGAACCTCCGCCTTTTCGCAGACATTCTATACGTGCTTCCGCCTTCATTTTTGCGGTCTGAAAAAGGACGTCAATCGTTAAAATTTATTGCCTCGCGAGCGTACGAGAATTTACATGTGCATGACTCTCTACCTCTGCTTTCCGCATCGTTGATCGCAATTCGTCAATTTTCGTTTCCAGGTCCGGCCCATTTGGATCATTAGGATCAGTCTGAAGTGAAACAATTCATTCCAAATTTTATGCAGATATTGCATGCGCTTTAATTACATTAAAACAAAAAGTCGATATTGAATATTTCGTTTCATGACATGTGTAATAACGCGATTTTGTTGTTGTTGTTGTTGTTGTTGTAATTCCGTTGTATTACGACACGGAGTCGGATTTTTACTGGATATTGTATTAATTGATTTGTGAATTATTGTTCAATTACAAGAGGTACAATGGAAAGAAAACATCGATTTTGATTACGATATTATTATGTGCATGTTCGTGAAAAGAATTGCAGTTAGAGATTATCCGTAATGCCATGAAAGCTGATATAATCGATGATCAATTATTTAATAAGCGATAGGGCATTTATGGGATTGTAATAATGAAATTGTTAGAGCTCCTTGAATACTTATTACGCTTTTAAATATACAATTATTGGGGCCCGTTAATGTGAATTAAATAATTGTACACATTAGTATGGATCTTATGGATCATTATAAATCCATGTTTAAATAGATATAACAAACTGTCAATACAAACCTTTTGACCAGACTCGCGCAGTTGCTGATGTGCTATTAGTTTTCTATTGCTTTCTCTATAAGTGTTTATTTCCCGAGCAATTTTCGTAGCCCAACGACGCGCTTCTTTGCTGAGAGTTTGCGCCGCCGCATTATCAGCTGTTATCCTGAATAATTATTAATTGAAACATTGATAATGTATTACATGATCGACGAATCATTATTTTTCTTTTTTACTTCATGTCTCAGGAGCTTAGAGCAAGTAATGATTTGGTACTTTGAATTATTTGTAACTTTGTATTGATTAATTGTTAAAAACAAAAACAAAAAAATGATTTACTTTTATATTCAATTCCATAATGGTAACTTAATCAATGACAATTTGAAGCAATCCTACAATACGGAATCTACTATTAACCGGATTTAATCGTATTCTCTGAAAATTCTTTTGACGAGAGAAGCCAAAGTTTGAACCAATTATTCATTAAAATGCCTAACGAACGGGCAAAATACAACGAAATACCGAACTCTTTAACCATTATACTTGAAATACAATAGCAAAGGAAAGTGCAAGCTTATCTATAGTCATAAGCGAGAAAAGCAAATGAAAATTTATACGATAAACCATATTTCGGAATAGAAATTAATTATATAGTCCGTTTTCGTTATTCGCCTACCTATCAACTTGATCGTTATCGCATGGCTCGTATTCATACTGTATATGCTGCTTTAAAACAGGATAATACAGGCAACAGCACTGTATATTATATTCCCTAGTAAGCTGTAACAGACAGAAAGAAATTCATCTAAGGTTAAAAATGTAAGGTGTAGAAAATTTTAGCTTTTCTGCTCATAATATGAGATATATGCATGTGATTTAGATTATAATCTTGGCAATGGAAATTAAATCAATTCTGCAGTTTACGATAATATAATGCATTTATATTTCGTAAATAAATCGTTCGTCAAATTTTCGTTAAAAATCTGTAGTTATTTATTTGATTTTTATCCATGAATTTTACGAAAAAGCACTAAACGCATTATTTAAATAACTAGTGTTTCCATTTTTATATTGTAAATTGGCTCGTTCATTTATAAGTCGTATTTTTCATTTCAATTTTGTTGATATATTTGAAAATATATTGGGAATTTGAAAGCTTATCATAATAATCAGTGAAACTAATTGATTTTATTTTTTACTTACTTTATGTAAAAATTGAAACAATGAAAATTATTACTCGACTGATTTAAAAGCGTAAATTTTTTTCATTTAGTTTAAGAGTAGTAGTTTTTTTTATCGCTATTATGATTGTTATTTTGTTGTTGTTGTTGTTATTGAAAATAATCACGTAGGATTGACATTAAGCAAAAAAAACAAAAAAAAAAAAAAAAGACTGCCAGTTGTTTTCAATATCTTATTTTCAAATCTTATTTTATTTATATATTATACATATATATTTATTTACACTTATATATATTTAAAATTTCTATCTAAATTTTCTTAAAAAATAGCTCTTTAATGGCAAAATTCAAACCATTAAAATGTTTATAATATCAAGTATCTTAGATACGCTTAGTTCGATACGTTAGTTTTTCGATTCAATTATTCTATATGAAATTACTAAATTAAATAAATTGATTCGATTTTTATAAGAAAATAAGAAGATTGGATAAGATAAGATAATAATTACACTATCGATTTACTCGATTTCAATTAATATACCTTTGATTCCTTTTATTTATTATAATTTAAAGTAAATATAATTACAACACGTGTGTAATATCAAAATAGTATTTCCAATTTGTCGTATAGAACTATGAATATTGATATTATGAATTTTTCAAGTACCGCAATCATTTTGTCTCCAAAATATAATTCAATAAAATGCAATTACAAGTACTTTCAAATAACATCAAAGAAGTTTTACAAAGATCTCATAGGATAAATATTGAGAAGAAGGCGTTGAGTATTTACTTGAACTTGATGCGGGTAGTTAAAAATTAAAAGCCAATACTCACCTGCTGCGCTTGATCGCGAATTTTACCAAAACTGTTTTGCATTGCCATGCAGGTTAGTAATTCCGTGCGACCCATGAGCGATAAATATTCAGCCACTTTGTCGTAAACCCCTTGCTCGAGATACTGAAAATGAAAAAGAAAAAAATAAATTGAAGAAGAAAATCATCATAGATTCGCTCGTTAAAAACCTTTACAACGTTCTTCTATGGTCTATAAACTAAATTAGCGCGCCTATGAGAGAAGTGACGAAGATTCGTACGCGAGGAGAGAGGCCCAAATGATGTAATTGCTTCAAAAGGAAATTCAAAATTGGTTTCTATTACAATCAGTCAATAAGGACGTGTTTCAATTAAAAAATTATGTTCAACGAATTTCAATAAATACGCGTGCGCCCTTTATTAAGTTTCCTTATACAAACTTATGTATTCCATTAAAATTTCATGGAATGAAAATAAAATTGAATTAAACTGAAATGGTATATTTGTCATACAAATAAAATGATATTTTATGTAAATACAGTGCAAGTTTTTTCATAATTTCTATAAGGACCATTTTTTTTTTTAAATATAATTTCTCTTTACTCTCCTTTCGTTAAAAAAAATTCTATTTCCTCCATGTTAATTATTACAAATTATTATTTTAAAGTAAGTTGATTATCCTAGTGTAAGACGACTGAATTTGTCCAGAGTATAAAGTAAGATTATAAAAAATTTGTTTTTGGCCACTTTCTCACCCTTTTCCCTTCCTTATTCATAAAGTTGAAGTGAAAAGAATATATGCATCATTCGCATAAATATGAAAGGTAATTAAAATTGCACTCACTTGCATTGTACTCTGTAAGTCGATTACAAAGTATCGGTTTTGATGAGCATTGGCTGCGGCAAGTGCAAGTAAGTAGTCGTTACGCGCTCCCGTTGACTTTTCCTCCAATGCGTCTCTCTTCGAACTCACCTTTTGACAATTAAAATATTTTTCATGTTTTATGGAAATTTTTCTACATAACAAAGTGTTTTTTTATCATAGGCACAGACTATGCTGTTGGAATTAATTGCTTTGTATTAAGACATTTGTTAATATCTTTATAATGTCAAGATTGTTATACGCAAGTGTTGGAAAGTAGGATTGAAAGATCCTTAAATTAAAATGCAAATTTAAGTTCAAATGGAGCATACCTTTGCGCTGTTCTTCTGTAAAGATGTTATCGATTGAAAGAAGGAACCTTTTTTTTTCTTAAGCCTGTAATTGAAAAGGAGAAAAATATTGCAACGCACAATATAATTGCGATATATCATTCATTATCATTTACATTTAATTTATTAGGTCATTGATTGGTAAAAGTTAGTGGCAGTGGCAAAACAAGTTCTATTATAATTTTTCTCAGCATATTATTACTTTTGCAATGGAATATTGTTGGCACAGTATTGTGCGTCATATTATTATTAATTTATAAGTATATTCGCAGACTATATAATACATTTGTTTAAAATTTTCACGTTGATAGTGACCACTGATTGAACAGTATAGATTATTATTTCGATATAATAATTTTTTCAAGTAATTATAAAAGAAATTTTTTTTTTTTTTTTTTTTAATTAGTACAAAGTTACAAATTTAAAAGAATTTTTAAATTAGCTGTTTTATATATTTATCAATACTGTTACATATATAAAAATTATTTTGTTTGTGTCGATATTAAGTACCGTTTATTTTATTTTATTTTTTTGTTTCTTCTGAAACTTTCGTACTATACTTCGTGCAAATTATTAGGAAGAATAAATATTTACTATCGATTAAACAAATAAAATAATTTAATTTTTAAACGAAATAATATAAGATAATATACTCTATCTTCATCAAATTTTCATTAATCAAATACTAAAATATCTGTATTAAAAATATATGTCCTGTAGTTTGAAGGATCACTATGATATTCGGGCTGACGTGAACTAAGAAGTGGAAAAGTCTACGGGAAAGGACACGACAATATTTAACATAATAAGGGCACCTACTTTTCTTCAATATCCTTTGCCTTGTCGCGCACATCATGGGCGCTGTGCTCCTCATCGAAGTACAATTTCTTCGTTTTATCGACGTCCTGTACACAGGTCTGGAGTTCTTTTTGTACTATCATCAATTGGTCGATCGCCTGCAATGTTTTTCGAGCTATTTTTTATTCTTCCCATTCGCACATATCGTTCTTTTTATTCTCATATATATATATATATATATATATATTGAAAGAAGAAAACAAAATAAAAACAAAAACAAAAACAAAAACAAAAAAAAACATAAAAATCCGTTGCCCTGCGATTAACTAGACTTTTCCCACTGATTATTTCCACTATATTATCCCAAATTAAATTCAATCGTATCGAGTAACAAACATTTCGATAAGCGCGAAAAGTATGAACAATACAATCGCCCCTAATTTTATGAAACATACGGACCTTCTTAGTGATTTGGACTTTGTGCATCTTCAAGCCCTTCGCTTCGTCGGCTATTTGTGATTGAAAAACTTCTACGGCCGCCAGTCGCGCTCGGGCCAGTTTCTCGTTCTCCTCCAGAACCGTTCTCCAGACATTCCACATGTTCCTACATATTAATAATAATTTTTTTCTTTTTTCATCAATACGTAACAGGCCTTTAGCTAACTCCCGATTTCGGATAATAAGTCTCACGACGTTACCAATACTTTTATAAATAACCGTCTAATGTGCAAAATAGCGAGCTCACCATCGTTCGTCGGCGTTGTCAACCTTCAAGTCGGGAATGTTTGGGATCTTTTTGTTCAAATACGCCGATGATATCTTTAGCAGTGCCTATAAATATAATAATCATTCGAAATACCACGTTTCCATCTGGCACTGATTATATATTATCTATGAATAAGAAATTGATTGTACATACGTCTGCATAGGATTTTTCGATGGCCGACTTTTTGATAACAAAGTTACTGAAAAAAAGTTAAAAAAAAACGATATTCATATAAATTGAATTATCGTTATTTTTTTTTTATATTGCTAATGATTAGATGCTTTTGTAAATGAAGATCGATTCGAATTTTGAATTATTTTGCGTTATAGTGTATTAGAAGCGTTTATTCAAATCTTAATACTCTCTCGAGCTCTCATTCATTTTCATATATTAACCATAAGAAATATGTACGAGCTATAAACAAATGTCTTTTGTCATTTACCAATGCTCCAATGATAAGATAAATAATATAAATGTGGCTTTGAAATATTCTACGATTATAATAATGATACTCGTAACTTTACTTTATATATTTTTCAACTTTACTTATAGGCAGTGTTATACAGAATTTACCGTTCCATACACAATCAATCAATGATGATACCAGCGATATTCCTTTTTCAAACTTTTAATTTCTACTAAACATTATAGCTAACAATGTAGTTTCTATGAATCGGACGAGTTGAATTACATATTCAATAGATACGATAGAAAAGATTTTCGCAAATACTTTTGGCCACGGCCAGTCTAATGTCAATAAATACCCGAGTCAAAAGATAAAAAATACAATAGATATTTTCAACGGCTCTAAATACTTGTGGGTTCGATTCGTAAGGTCAACTTCAATAAAAACGTTGCCGTTTACCGCGTTGCTAAACGTTACGTTTTATTTTATAATTAGTGCATACATTGTTCAATTAAATTTATCGTCTTCGTGGCAAACGCGAGTAAGTGATAAAACGCTCGTACATCACTTCGCACACATTGTCCCTTACACAATGCTGCACAATCAATGGACACGGCGATTACACCAGTGTGCATCGAATATTCACGAAAGTAAAATAATCGATTGTATATGCGTGCGCTGATAATGTAGGCGAAAGGTGCCAGAGACTCACCGAATGTCTTCAAGAAGGTCGCATTCGTGCTGATTCTTCGCCTGTAATTTTGCGGCTTGCTCCGAGTGCACATGCTTGAGGAATTTCGCGTTGTTCCCCTATTTTGAAAAACAAATTATTATTGAAAAAGAATTATTGGATACGTTCTTTATAGTTAGGTTATTTAGATTTTCCGAGTAATTAAATGCCATTTGAAATACTAGGCAGACACATTAACAGCACACCGGAAAGGCTTTTCCAATTCAGCTGTTGCAAAGATTAGACAATTAAAAAGTAACGAAAGTCTGTTTATTATAATGTCGTTGTATATATTAAGATTGTATTATTAAGTATTTGTTTTAAAAAAAATTTATTAATATTAAGTATTATTATTAAATATATTAAATATATTAATGTATGTATTAAAGGAGAGCACGTTTATTTAAAACTTTCGAAATTCCGTAACAGTCATTTATTATTTTTCGCTCTCTTAAATTCGTCCTGAACTCAAATGCTTTTGTAAATGTTATATCTTTCGTACTTAATACGAATAAGTTTTTATTAAACTCATTTAGTTTAATTCATATTTAGTTTACCGTGCAATTCTTTTTGTTCTATTTTGTGTACTAATTAATTTTTACATTCATTTATATAAATTTAAAGTCAATTTAATTAAATTATGCCAACTCTAATTGTTTTTTGCGCGACAGGAGGATCTAAATATAATGGATTTATGTAGAATATAAATTTACTTGGTTTTTTTTTCTTTTTAAAAGTATAATATATTTGCAATTACATTTATTTTTATTAAATGCGGAATCTTCCAATCACAGATTTTAGAGTACACGTTAATAGAACAAAATTCTTATAATTATTGAATAAATGATGAAAGAAGTTGAAAAAGTTTTGTGAAACGAAAAGTTTTAAGTAATAGAGTTTAAAGTAATAGACTCATGAATATATCTTGTGTCTGTAATTATGAGAAATCAATAATTTATATAATTAACGTTAATTAACATAAATAAATTAATTACATTAATATGATTATTAAAATAATTTTTCATTTTATAATTTCCCAATATTGATTATACCTTTATCTAGAATATATTGAGTATACATTCTAGCATAATATATATTTTTATAAAATAATAATTTTTATAAAAATGTTAATATTTAAATAGTTTTTATTTGTGATTTTATTAAGTGATATAAATACGACATTCATTGACCTTAGAGTAAACATTCGTTATGCATTATTCTGGTAAAAAAATAATTAAGATTTAATTTATCATTACATTTATTGTATTAATTTTTCATGATAATTTATCTCATTGATTACTGCAATTACTCGAATATATAATTTTTGCTTGGAATATCTTTTCAATATTTCCGTGTATATATATCATTTTTCTGATCAAAATTATCATGTCTATTTTAAAATTAAAGAAATCAGTACAATACGTACACGAACTTATCCTTATCCTTAATTTTTTTCATTCTTTGAATGATATTTTGTTAATAAAATTATAATACACTATTACAAATAAATTCTATAAAATTAATTCGGCTGGATGAAACTTTAGTGAAGTATCGATTTTAACATATGCATAGAATATAAGTAGCAGATTATTCTAAAAATAAGCTCTACGGATTAGTCTGCAGTCAATTTTATTAATGCAATCACCAACGAAACTATTATATAAATGAAAAATTCTCATAATCTGTTATAATTAAGTTTATAACTATTTTGAGTCACTCTTAAATTATATACCCAATGAAGGTAATAGAACGATTTTTATTACTAAAAATTTAATTATGCAAAAAAATTTTCTATTTATTCTTCAAGTTATAGAATATTAAAATTGATTTGACATTGTCACGCTCTATTTAAAAATATATATTTTCTGAAATAAATACAAATTCAATTGCTGTAACCGTAACTGTCGGTCATCGGAACTTTTTTAATTGCGAGTGAGCTTTTGCGTTACGCTCAATCGAAGCGAAGTCAAATAATTAATTAGCGATTCTCGATTATATGCATATTTCAAACCGAGTATCGGCTAACAATAATCTACGGCTAAGTAAATATCGAACAGTTGGTAAGATGGTCGAGACGATGCTTGCATTTATAAATCGGTTATAATCCAGATTGACTAAATTTCATTCTCATGCAATATGGAATTAATATGGAATTTTTTACTTTAATCAGCGATCCATCGACTCAACGACGAGGACCGACAACTATTGACGGACCAGACTGGCGGAGCTTTGAGAAGCCCAACGAGAGGTACGATGGCTGAGTATAGATAAGAGATGCTTCTTGATATCTCCACAATGTTTCTTACTAATATTAAATAAATAAGTATTTTATTCTAAGTTTGCTAAATTAATTATTCGTGCTATCTTTTTTTTTATGGCAATAGAATTTTCTGTACTACATTAGCACGTTATTAATGTACTAATTTCTCATAATAGTATTCTATTCGATTGAAAATAATGGACTTATTTTCATTAAATGTATGTCCGTTTGGCGATTATCGAGCTTAATTTGTAATCTATTTGTGCGATATATTGGCGATTGCTTTTCGATGGAAATAATTTGGAACTTTACTACCAGAGTACGCCGAATTTTATTTTAGATTTCCATTTTATAGAATAAGTATCGTTATTCTTGCAATATTTTACGAATTTATTAGAGTAGATTTATTCGGAAATCAATATAACGAAGTAGAATGAAGTAAAATATTCCCCGTGAAGTAACAAAATTTCATTGTTTTTGGCATTTCATGGTGAATAATATCTTTAAATCGTAAATATTAAATAGACTTAGTTTTGGTTACATTTCACGCGAAATAATTTTACATGAATAGCTACAAATTTTCAAACAATAACTATTTGCTATTTTCATTGTCCAATAATGGATTTGCATTCTTTATTATTACAAGCCATTGTATAGGTTAAAATAGATTGAATGATTGAACGTCATTTTTCTAAAAATAGTGTGTAAATGAGAGTTACTTTCAATATTCGCTCGATGTGCTTGTCTTGATCTCAATCTAATTTCAAGGCTCAGAGCAACTTTTAACTTGTCAGCAGATACGCATGTATCTACCAAGAAGCTCGAACTTTCGAACAAGATGTATATATATATATATATATATGTGTGTGTGTGTGGTGTCGTAATATTATCACGGTGTTACGCATCGTAATATAGCACGTGTCTCAAGCGACAATTTCACGTTACTAATACCAGCGCAGTGGGAGTCTGTACTGGCCTGATTATGAGCAAATATAGATCACGCGGAGTAATGTGCGTGTGTGCCTGCGTGCGTGAGAGTGAGAGAGAGAGAGAGAGAGAGAGAGAGAGAGAGAGAGAGAGAGAGAGAGAGAGAGGATGGTAGGGAAGGAACGAGCCTAGAAATCGATCGTTACTGACCGTTGTTGCCATCGCCTTGCAGATAATGCAATACATTCACTACCTGCACGAATATTAGCCAACTACGTTGAATGTATAATTTTTCGTATTTTTAGAGTCATATTATACTTACCACTTATTCTACTATGTATGGTTAATGTGGAATTTTACATAAACAATTTTACAAAATATTTTAATACTTAGTTTGTAAGTGATGCATTTATTTTAATTATTCAATTTTTTTTTAAGTGCATTTATATTTGAGTCAATTCACTTAATTCTATGAAATTTTCGTGTCCTTATTAAATTGGTTTATTATAAAGATATATTTTTACATTTGAAATGTATTGCACGTAATATATAGAATTGAATAGATAAGAAAGATTCAGATAAAATTTCAGACAGTTTTTTAATGAAAAAAAATTATAAATTATTTTTAACGAACTCGATTCATTTGATTCTAAATTTCAACAATTAATATTTTAGTTTCTCTATATATTTATAAATGAATGAGTGTATCAATTTAAATAAATAATATTATCGGACTAAGTTTTTTTTTTATTATTGATGCTATAATTGTAAGTGTCAATGACGACGAGCGTACGGAATTAGTGATACAATGCATTTGATTGTATATTGATTTACGATAATTATAAAAATTAAATAGATATATTTTTAAGATTTTCAAATTTTTCCAATCAAGAACAATATTTTTTTTTTGAAAAATTCATAATTATATATATAAAAAAATTTATCAAATAAAAAAAGAGGCGCTAATGTTGGAGTTAGTAGTTTATACTTAATTATAGTCAGCCGTACCATATTTATGAATGTCAATTTTTAATAAATAATACGAGTTTTGAATACTTAAATCGAAGCAAATATATAAGAGAATTATTTGACATATCAATTTATATATTTATTGTATTATTCATTCAGTCTATAATTGCATTTATTGAATATCATTGCTTTGTGTCAGTTGAGTTTAAAATCGTATTCAAGAAATTTTAATTTAACTTTATCTGTAAATAATGAATCTATAATTTTATGAAATAAATATCTACAAAAATATTTTAAAGATCTTTATACTTTATTTACAATCGTAACAATCATCAAAAGTAATAATAAAGTTCTAAGCAAACCTCTCTATTAATGCGCATTTTAATTTTTTTCTTCATTGATATTATTCATCTTTCATTTTAAGGTTTAAAAGAAATTCGTAAAAAATTTAATTTCTAATAATATCACTTTATTAAGTTGAGTTATCACATATTTTCATCTACTTAATTCTATTTGATTCCTATTTTTTCATCTTTATAGAAAGCAATAGCTAAGATAAAATCTAGGATACTTGTTGTTAGGATGTTTTTTATAGTAAAACTTTGGCCGTACGATTTGTAATTTAAACTTTTTAAAAATATATTATTTTTTATATATAGTATAAGGTAAGATGAGAAAAGATATAAATACCGAAAAATTTTCGAGTAAAGTTCTTCTTGTCAATCGTATTAATATGCTTCTTACAATAATAGATGTAATAGTTGTAAATATAAGCATTTTTTTATCTATTCACTAGAGCAACAGATTAATAAATTTATCGAAATTTCATTATTTTAATTTAACAGCTTAATACAATATTTGTTTGTTCAAATACCTAAATTTAATTTTTATTTTTGATATATCTTCACTTTGTTAAAATAAGTA